ATGTAAAAATATAAATATAATTATCATTAAAAAACAAATATACGAGGGTTGTCCAAAAAATTCGTGCACTGAAGTAATTGTCGTGAGTGTTATTAATAAAAACAAATGAATTATATATCACTTGAAGGGGAAATCTGTCTCAAATAAGAAAACAAAAGAAAAAGCCGGATAACTGGCGTGTCGTGTAAAAGAATGGTCATTAAGTTACCTTAGTAACGTAATACCGGCGCACGGCAAAACATTGGGTTAGTTCATTTAATTTACTGTAATTGTATTAATTGTTTGTTGCTTGTAAAGTGGCATTTGCTTTTTATGTCATGATTTGTTTTACTGTCAAAAGAGGAATGATTGATGCAAAGTATTTTGTTGTTTTTATTGTTCTTATGCAACGGACATGTAATATATCCCACCAGTGAACGAATATATTGGACAAGCCTCGTAGCATAGTCCGGCATTACGGACGGACGTATGCCTGACCGGTTGTCATCGTCTACCGACTCTCGCCCTTCTACAGAGCGTTTGTGCCTTTTAAAAACCAGCCTTTGTGACACTGAACTTGTCCCCGCCTGTCCTTTTAGGTTCTTTGTAGGTATCTGTTTGTGTTTACCAATATTTGAACAAAATGTAATAATCTTCCGTATTTCCAGATGTTTAGCGACTGACATTTTCACGTAATTACAATATTGACAACCTCACACAAATGTTTGTTAACGACCGTCACAATAGAGCAAATGACGTAATATTTTATAGTGACGTTAGGAATACGTACACATACTTTTCCCTAAATTTTAAATTTTATATGTAGTGTTTAAAGAAAACCGTGATGCATCAAAGTAATGAACTAACCCAATTTTTTGTCGTGCGCCGGTATTACGTTACCAAGGTAACTGTATGACGATTCGTTTTCACGACATGTTGGTTACACGTTTTTTTTTCATTTGTTTCCTCATTTGAGATATATCTCCCCTTCAATTGATATATAATTCATGTTTTTCTATCAAGAACTCTCACGACAATAACTGAAGTGCACGAATTTTTTGGACAGCCCTCGTATATACAATATCAAATCACTTTATATATCTATATTGTCTGCATTTCTTGCAATTACTATATACTCTATATTGTCTGCATTTCACTTTATGTTCTATACTGCTAATAAACCTAGAGTAAAATGCACACGATATAGCGTATGGGAAACGCAGACAATATAGATAAATAGTGAAAATGAATTTTGCAGACATGTATTACAAGCCAGCTTGTACATGTATTGTAGTTATATTTGATTTTTTTACATTATTTGTTGTTTAGTATGAAAGAAAATTAATCAAAGCACAGAAGGCGCTGGATTTGTTTGGGTCTCAGAATGTCAGAATGGTGAAGGTTGTGAGATTATAAACCAATTTGTTTTTGTATAGTGCCACCAATGCTTTCCAGTGTTTTAACTGTAGTAAATTGGCTATAAGACTAATTGCAACACTGATAGTCAATTCCATGTTTATTTGACTTAAAAAAATAATTAAAAAAAATGAGTTGCCTCAACTGGGATTTGAACTCGAGACCTCTCGATTTCAAAAGCGAGCGTGCAAACTCCTCGGCCACGGCGATGTTATATCTTAACTGCCCGAAAAAAACCATATTATTCTAAATTAGGGTTTCTAACTCTTATTATTTCGACGCTAAACACAGATGTAAATAATCATGGAGATTACTGTAAGGATGTTTATCTATAAAGACTTAAACAATATTAGAAATCTTCGACCATTCGGGAACTACTTTGCTTGAAAATTAATGCGCCTGTCATTTGACAATCTTTACGCATTGATCTCCCCTGAATTTTTCGGCGTTAGTGTACATATAAAGGGAAGTAACCGCTTCAAAAAAGTGGACTACTTTAGGCATTTGCAATTAACAGCATTCGGCTCTGAAATTTCGCTACCATTATTTGTTTGGTCTGACGACCCAAACAAATAAAAACAGTCTCACACTATATTTAAATGTCTTTATTGGGGCTAGATTAAAGCAATATAAAGATAAATCATCATTTACCACTTTCTAATTTCTATTTTACTTGAATGAATTTACTGTTTCACATTTCAGAACAAACTGCTCATCTTTCAGAAAGAAAAAGAAACACACATGTCTTGGATGAATAACAGACTATTCTCACCCTAACCAGTTCCTTCGTCTAACAGTTCTCACTCGAACCGTTTCCATCATGTTCCTCCCCTGAAAGCCCCCACCCCCCTAAAATGTCATATTTTTATTTTCTACACAGGAATTTTAGTTTTATTTATATTATTTTCTCTTATGGTGAGAATTATTGTAAGCAACATTTTTATTTTATGAATAATATTATGAAGGAAGCAGTTTCAAAATTTGTTAATTAAAGTATAATATGCAATTAAGTTGTTGAAACTTAATCAAGATCTTAAGATCATAGGTTTCTTTAATGAAAATCAACCAAGCTGATAGTCGGCCACAATTAAATATACTACCGACATAGAAAGGAAACGGAAGCGGACATCTATTTGTATATCTAATTTTATTGTTTTAAACACCAAATAAACACATTTCTCTGATCTCAAAATAAGAAAAGGGTTGTCCTTAATTGAGAAGTGCGTTATATAAAGTTAAACCCTCAAAATAAATATTAATGGTATCGGGCCCACCGCAATGCGTTGCAATCGAATCCACCGCCGTCTGCGTTGTATTCATTTTTGTCAATTCTTCAAAAGTTCCAAAAATATAGTTGTTTTTTGCAAGTATCATACATAGTGTATTACATGGTCCTTTTGCATACATGTGAACGTGTTTTCACCAAAATGAGGCAACATGGGGTCCCCTCGTCAGAACAGTACAGAAGTGTTTGCATAAATGGTAATGAATTGCACTGTATGTGTGTAATACGTTGTAAGAGTGCGCATGTGGGCTCCCGTCTCACTAAGTGTTTCAGATAAACATTAAAACTTGCCGACAACAGCAAACGGCCATTTTTCATCCACCGCTTCTGCGACGAGCGCTTCTGTATAAGCTTTGGCCAGTGTGATCTATTTTGTACATAATTAACTGCCGTTTTTGTTATGTTGTTTTTTGTTCCTAAGCTCGGTTTATGAAAGGGCGAACCATCAGAATATTTAGTTATAATGACTTAAACAGCCAGATCGAAAAAAGAGATTGTTGAAACATTCATATATTTGGGTTTAACCCTTTTTATAAACGGAAATTGGTTCAGAAGTCAAAAGAAAATAGCTCAACATGCATCGTATGCACTACATAGCCTTTTCTCAATTTTTAATGATATAGAGTTACCTATTTCTCAAAAGTGTAAGCTGTTTGACTCGCTTGTCGGTTCTTTTTTAAATTTTGGTGTAGAAATTTGGGGAAACCATGACGCTACAGCTGTTGAAGCAATTCATGCAAAATTTCTGCGTAAGGTCTTAGGGGTGAAAAAAATCAACAAATTTATTAGCACTTTATGGGGAATTACGACGTTACCCTTTATCTACTAGTATATATCGCAAAATAACAATGATTAAATATTGGGTTGAAATAGTTAAACAAGAAGATTCGTCTCTAGAGAAGAAAACTTATTTACATGTACTATTAAAAGCAGACGCTGATTCCAATTTAACGTATAGAGGAAATAACTGGGCGTTTCAAATCAAAAAGTTCCTATCAGAACTTGGATTTCTATATTTTTGGCAAAATCAAAATAAAAATGATATTCCCCTTTCTGCTATCAAACAAAGAATCTTAGATAACTATTTACAAAAATGGTATGCAGATATTAATTATTCCAGTCGACTCCAATCATATTGCATTTTTAAACATAACTTTGACCGTGAAAAATATCTTTCGGTGATTTCTGATTATGAATTTAGAAATACATTATCCAGATTTCGTATGTCCTCTCATAATATATATATCGAAACCGGTAGATACTATAATATCCCAATGGAACAAAGACATTGTAAATCATGTAATATGTCAATGGTCGGAAATGAATACCATTTTTTGATGGTCTGTCCACATGTCATAGATTTGAGAAATAAATATTTTAAACGCTATTACTGCCAGTGGCCGACTTTGAAAAAATTTAGGGCTCTCATGTCAACACACTCTACAAAAAAATATTCAATTTAGCTAAATTTGTTTACATTGCAAATAAAGAAAGATTTTTTTCTCATTTTTTTTTCATTAGAATCACGCAAATATTGTTAATATTTCAATAAGGTTATATATATGTAATGATACATTTACATGTTTATTCGACATTACATAATCATGATAATAATGTTTCATTAAACAATCTCTTCTGATAACTGTATAATTTATTATGTAAAAAATGCATTTTGTTGTTTGCTTTTCTTTTCTTCTTTGTTTTTCGTTCACACTGTACAATAGAATTTGTATAGGCTATAAACATTGTTTGAACATGTTTAATGCTGAATAAAATTCAGTATTCGTTAACAATGTCCTGAAAACCTGCAAATGCAACTTTGATGTGCTTTTTTTTTTTAAAGAAAGAAGTACGTTTTTTTTGTTTTCTTTTGTGTACACGTGTGTGTGTGTTTTGCAGTTTGTGCGCTGGTGCTGATCATTAGCACTTGACTGATTTTCTGCAACGTACATGTAGATAACATAACAGATCAAATGAGCCGCGTCATGACAAAACCAACATAATAGGTTTGCGACCAGCATGGATCCAGACCAGCCTGCGCATCCGCAGGATCAATGTTGTTCGCTTACAAACCCTATTACAAGTATAGAAACTGATAGCGAACAGCATGGATCCTGATCAGACTGCGCGGATGCGCAGGCTGGTCTGGATCTATGCTGGTCGCAAACCCATTATGTTGGTTTTGTCGTGACACGGCTCAAATGAAGTGTCTCTATATAAAACCCCACTGAGTTAAATCATGACCCTTTTAATAGATTTCTTCTATTAAATGAAATACGTATTTAACCTGGCCCCCAGATAACACAATAAATCTTTGTAATGCATTCGCTAGCTACGTCCACAGATTAATAAGAGATTGTAAACATACCTCTGTTTGCTTAAAAGCTAATATAGACGCTGTAATACTCGACATGCGATATTGTGATATTGGAGAATATTGAAATTTAGTAAATATAGTCAAATTCATAAGGTTTGAAAATTTAATACCGTTACGGACTGTATTTCCTATCTGGATAAAATTTGATCCCGGCTTTAGCTGTTGTTAAATGTTACAGCTTATCTGTCCGTATGAAATATCTTCCGTAATGTGATGATTCTGTCGAAAATATGGAAGCATGACATCCTTGCGTATTGCGGTTTTCGGGGACAAAAATGTTGGGAAATCAGGTAAGATATTGGGTTACTTTTCCTTTTTGTATTTCTGCATTATGTGTTTTATATTTTGTTGCACGTGTAACATTATAATTGAAATAAAATCGTTCCCTGGAAAAGGAATTGATAAATTCAAAGATCTGATTTGATTTCTCTCAAGTATGGTCTGTTCACGAGAATAAGAAATTATCTTTGTGTTTATGATTTGAGAAATGTAAATTACAGTCTGATTTCATATTGTTGTCATTGCTTATCAAGGACTTTTCGATGTAAGTCTAATTAATTAAATAAAATGTACTTATGAAACTATGCTTTTATGAAGAAGCTGGTGCCTAGTGGTTAAGGTGTCTGCTGCTCAACCCGAAGATCGTGGTTTAGTGAGTTGGAGCCCTGCTCGGGTCACGACCCTGCTTATTTAGGGCATCAGGAATTGTTATCTCTAAGGGGAGAACTTAATTTAAGTGATTTTAAATAGCTTAAAATTATATATTTAAACTAAAAGTAAATTAGCTATACATTATAAGAGTATATATTAAAGAATGAATTTGATTATAAGAGGTATACAGTGCCCTCCAAAAGTCATTGGACATACTTAAAATTTATCATTCACTGGCAAACTTTGTTTCATCTTTCAATAGTTTATAAAAGAATTTGGTTCTGTTAATGGGTAGAATAAAGGGGGGTAATTCAAAGAATAATATACAATAAATGAAACATCATATAAAATTGTGTGCGAAAGGTACATGTATATTTAAATTGATAAAATGTGAGTGTAAACATATGTTTTAGTCGTATTAACTTTACATTTTAAAAGGATTTGGCAATTTTTCTTTTTCAAAATGAAAATCAATTTAAATACACTTAAATGTGCTCATTTATAAGTGATAATAATCCCATAAAAACCGAAGAATTTGATTGTGTGTGTTAGATATAAATCATTTTACAAGAAGCAATAGTAACTATAGATTTCTTTCATTATACATGTATGTGTATTCAATACAATATTGAAGGGTGTTTTTTTTATCTTTGATTCCATTCCGATTCAAAGTATTTTATGTTTCTTTGATTCGAAATCACCCAGGCTTCAAATTTGGCATTAACATTGTATTTTGTTCGATATAAATTTTGTTTATAGACAAGTTATTCAATATTTTATAGTAAGACTGCAATATTTGCATATAGAATGCATTGGTTCATTCCAACATCCAATTTTTTACAACGTTCTGCGGCGCACAATTAAGTTTTCTTCTTATTTCAAACCGTACCTCTGTATACTTGCTAAATAATGTGTTTTGCTTTCAAAAAAAATGGAGGAAATAAAAGTACATGTATTAACCTTTGTATAATTATCATAACAAAGTTTCTTAAGTACAGAAAAAGTGCATAATTTGTGGATAAAAGGTAATATTTTAGTATGTTACAAAGTAAAAGAATGTTTTATCTGATTGCCTGTAACTTCCAGTGTTAAATGTCTTTTGTAAATTATTTCAAAAATTTTATTCTGAATACAATTTAATCATGAATGGATGTAAGGTCATGTGTGTGTGTAAGTGTAATGATTGTCAGAATAATATCGCCATTTTTGTCAAATAGACACTTCATCAGATACTTAAGTTGATCAGTTATAATTTTATTGACGCTAAAATAAGATATAGAGTATGAGTAACGTTGATAATAGCAGGGCGGAACCTGTGAATCTTTTTCAGTTATATTGAATCGGTGAAAGATTTGCGTTTCCGGAAAAAGTAAATTACATCATATATGAAGGCGCCAAAGAAAACAAATCTCCAGAAAAAATGTGCAGTATTTGCGAAATTCCACACAAGCTTAATGTTTTTTAACAATAGGTGAACGGAGTATATTTTCACAATTAAGGTTAAGAAGGAAAATAAACAATCAAACAATTCTAACATCGACATGGTTTATACCTGCTGACTTATAGATATAGCAGTGCGAATATTGTAGTCTTTGATTTTGGACAAACGTTCAGCGTGTGCCTGCTACGAACAATTAGACGGTTATAAGCGGACTCCACGGGCTTCCTTTTGTGCACCCCCAACACCCCCTCCCCCCCAAAAAAGGACAAAAAGAACAAAAAACGTATTAACTGTGTAACTAGTACGAGAACAACCGGAATATATCAAACACTCATTTCCCGTGATATTTTCTGTAGTTCTCCTCGGATTGGGGTATAACTGCGTGATTAATGTGATTTTAATCAATTCATGTTTTGAATTATCAAATGACACTCATTTATTCAATTGGTGCTTCGAAAATATCTTAAATTATCTTTAGCAAGTTCCCCAAATAAAAAAAAATGTTGTTTTTGGTGTGTCGTAACTGTAATAAGAAATTCATGTATATTCTAACATATCTAGAGCCCACAACTTAAACTTTATCTCAAAATGTTGAAAAAATATACAAGCATAAAACATCATCATATCTTCACACCGGCTCGTTAATTAAAATTTCATTTGAAAAGTGATAAGTTTGTATATTCTGCGGCATTTCAGATATTCTGCGTCTACTTGAACGCTGATAGTTGGAGATAGGACAGCTGTTATAAAGTATTATAACCTCATTAACTTCCGTAATTATATAATGTTATCATGATAGCTAAGACTGTCTAAAACTTTAATCCAACTTATCAAAACTGCGTATCCCCCATGGGACACAATATTATTATTGACTTGATTAATTGATTTGTACAAATATTGATCTATGGACTTGTAAATAAGCCGACCAAAATTGAGTTAATGTTTACCGTTTGACTTAATTGTATTTTCTTATTTCTTTTCTTAAATGCTTATGTTCATAAATAGAAAAATATGTATTAGCAAACATTCTGTAAGTATATATAAATAGTTGACAAAGTGTTTACATAATTCTTGTTTGTATGTTTTGTAGATTTTTTTGTAGAGATTTTTTCAATAGATGATGGTAAACTTGATAGAATGTTGATATACGAAAACCATTGTGTTGTTAAATGTACAATCTACAATAGATCCGTTGTAGTTTCATTTCAAATACATATATTTTATAGTTTTACTCGATGCTTTCTAGATAATTCAGGCTCAATAATTATAGATAAAAAACGTCAGAATAATTTTTATAACATACATATAATTGAAATATTGATGTAAAAATTTATTTTCACTGCAGCGAAACATAACTTACGCATTTTCACTGGTGTCTTGCTGGACTACTTTCTTCTAAATTTTGCCAGTACAAAAAATTTAACGGATTTTTTTTTTCAAATTGAAACTTCAAAATAAAAAAAAAATGTATATAATAAACAGAAAATTCAAGATTGTCTATAAATAGAGGATATATTTTCATCTTGTGGTATGAAAATTATCATATTTCACCGCCAGTCATGATGTTTATTTTCATACCACTAGATGGAAATATTTAGAGAGAAAAAAAAAATGAATATCCTCTTTATAATGCTGTCTCTTTTTATTTTTTCAGCGGTCACAGTGCGATTCTTGACAAAACGTTTCATTGGTGAATATAATTCGGATATAGGTAATATAAAATTAAATATTAAAACTTCATTACATAGTTATGTTTATACTTAACAAGATCTTATTACTTAAAGTCAGAAAGAAACCTTAATGAATAAATATTTTTCTTTTCAACCCTCTGGTTACAAATTTTCGTATTGGTTGTACATCACGCTTAAATTACGGTACCATCGTAAGCATGTTCTATGAACTCTGTACATGTATATTCTGTACAAGAATATCTGAACTATCTACCCTGTACTGGGTACTCTTAACCTGCACAATTTCTTAAATGGACTTTCCCAGCGTCCATTTTTTGAACGGTCCATTATGAAATTGGGGAAATCAAGCCGGCGGAGTGCGCCAGTGCCTCTCAAGAAAGGTAACATGGGTTCGAGCCCTACTCGGGTAACGATCATGATTCCTCAAATGACAGCAGTACTGGTTAATTCCAGGAAGCGGACTAGAAAGTGCAATAACTTCGTGTCGCAATCTAGCAAAAATAAAAACAAGTTTAATCTAAACTAAGTCAGCCCTGGAAATCAGAAAGTGATTTAATAAAGTATATAGTCGTCATTGCGGTGTAACTTTCAACTATATAAGTGAAATTATGATATTTGAATGGAGATATTTGGCTTAAACAATCTAGTTTTATACATGTGCATATGATACGACACAGCTTGTAAGCCAATCAAAATTCGAGAAATTTATTTGCATTATAAAAATGATATAATATAACCACCAAGCATGCAATTAATTAAATAAAATAGGACATGGAAAGTGTGTCACAAAGGTGAGTTATTATGTATACTGAGTCGTGACTGTATTTATTCTGTATCTTGTATTTTCAGATTTGTTGTACAGATCCAGCATCAAACAAGAAGATTATCTTACAGATATCGAAATATTGGATACATGTAGTCGAAGTGTATGGCTTATTTTTGATTACTCTTGTTTTACTCAAATTGAAAAAATAATATTGCAATACTTTTTTGTTCCTTATTTACTTAAACGGGCAATATATTTCCTGTTTTTATTCAAATAGCAAAATATGTCCGTTTTGTACTGTATTACATTTCTACTAAACTGGCAGTATTAACATCCTTTTGTTTCGGCGGTAAATTTTCTCTTTTACTTGTTCATATTTTACTCAAATGGCAATGTATTGACAATGTATTTGACGGTGAGCACGATGCCTTTTTTCTGACAAACAACATCATAATAATATTATCACTGACTGACTGACTGACTGACTGACTGACTGACTCACTCACCAACTCACTCACTCACTCACTCACTCACTCACTCAATCAATCAATCAATCAGTTTGTCAGTCATTTTGTCAGTCAGTCAATCAGCCAATCAATCAATCAATCAATCAACCAATCAATCATGCTTATTCACTGTTTCAGGGAAAAAATAATCCGTCCGAGTCTCATGTACAATGGGCAGATGGATTTATAGTGATTTATGATATTTGTGTAAAAGAGACATTTGAAGTAGCTCGACACAATTATTCACTCTCTTCACAAGATGAAATCGCCATTCATCGTTCCAATGCTGCTTCTCGCTAACAAACGAGATCTCGAACACAGACGAGAAGTTGGTGTAGATGTAGGCCACGAGCTCGCCGCTAGAATATGGCTGCCAGTTTTACGAGGTTTCGGCAGCTGATGTGTTTATGCCAATCAGCATTGCTTATCAGGCATTATTAAGAGATGCAAAAATAACTCAACAACAAAGATCAACGATATTACGGCGGCGGAGGAGCTCCCTGATGACAGTTTCGAAAAAACTCGTTTCTATATTTGGAAAGAAAGAAACTGACTTGGAAAAGAAACGACCGTCTTGTGATGTTGTTCCTGATTTCGCTTTGTCAATCTGAATGTATCATTCTTATCTAAGGAAGTTGTTCAAAATGAATCGGGCACCTTTATTGTCTACACTGTTCCGAAAACAAGCTTTTGTTAAATGCTTAAATTAAAGCTCGAAATAAGCAGCAGAAGTATGTGAATTAAAGGTTTTCCACTAAGGTCAAAAATCTTACATAGACCAACTGTGACACATAAACTCGATACATTTAAAAACGGCAACAAAGGAATATATTCAGAATTAATTTAAAAATCAAAACTTAAACTTAACTTAAAAGCGTATATACCCTTTTCAATTTAAGGTAATTTTGAGCGAATGATCTGAAATTTGCACACAAGTTATTTAATAGGTCTTCATATCGTTACAAATCGTTATCTGTATAAACCTTGATATGTTTAAAATAATTGCTATAAAAAAACTTGACAAAATATTTACACTTGGATGGGCATGAACTCACTTCAATTCAAACTTCGTATATTGAGCAGGACCCATGTTAGATTTCTTGTTTTTTCTCTTTTAAAAATCTGTAATTATACAGGCTAATGATTGAAAATCATAATTATATAACATAAGTGTATCTTCTCCCTTTTACTGTATGTTTCATTAAAATTCAAACATGATTTCTTAGCCAAAAAATGAAAAAAAAAAGCATTTTAATTCATTTGCACGTGTTGTATGTGAGTACACGTGCTAGTGTAAACTATTTAGCAAGTTTTACAGTATGCCAGATTCTTCCCGGATCATTAACATTTTATTACCTGTAATCATTTATTTTCTTTTTTTTTCAATTAAAGTATTATGAATTTTGTCTGTGATATTGTTGATAAAAACTCTCATGTATTGCTTGCGTGTAATATATGTAGTGAATTAAAGTACATGTATTATAAATTATATATTTGTTGTGTTCTTGTACTTGTACATTGCATGGTCTTTAAACATAATGCCAAACTTCCATTTGGAACACCTTGCTATTTACCGATAATCTTTAACCGAAGTTTGAGGGAAATGTTCGAGAAGTTGCCAATCTTCAATGCCTTCAACAAAACAACAACAACAACAACAAAATTCCAGACAAATTAAATTATTCTCCAAAGATCTTGAATGATCACTGTTCAAGTATTAATGTATATATTTAACGCAAATGTGTTCCAAATAATGGTTTCTAATTAAGTATAAACATATTCATTTTTAGTACAAACAACAACAACAACAACTTTTATTAGCAAATATCGACAAAAACTTGCCTTTGGCTAATGAACAGAAAAAAATACTTAAAAAAAACAAAAAAATCAATTTTCGTGAAAAAATTTAAACAAAAAAAATCTAAAAATATTAAGTGATCAGAAAAAAATGTACTTTTTAAAAATCGTTTTTTTCAGTTAAATTTCTTTTTAAATTTTCCATATTTAATAATTTTCTTTTTTATTTGCCCATCAACGGTTTGAATAAAAAAATTTTTTGGGTACGAAATAGTGGGATATATTTTGGTACGAATATTTGAATATTTTTGACAGGTCATTAGAAATTGGTACTCTGACTCAATTACATTACAATTGCAATTATCTACAAATTCTATTTATTCTATCAGTTCCTATATATCTCCCAGTTTCGATAGCTAGCGAGTGCGCTGATAATCTGAAACAAGTAAATAGTTTTTCTCAAATAGTCATTTTCAATAAAATCAAGATATTTTTCATAACCAAATTCTTTTTTATATTTCACATAATAATCAAGTTTAGGCATATTACGAATAGAACCACTCCGTTTTTGCTTTAACTGATCTCTTAATCTGCATTTGAAGATACTCATAGAAATATCATCGTTGAAATTGTACCAAATATAGCCGTACCCGAGAGAATATAGAAGAGATTTAACATGTTTTGCCCAAAATATGCAATTTTGATTGTATGTTTCTTGATATTGCAGTTGAAAAATATCATAAATAAGCGAACTTTTATTTCTGTTTATTTTCATCCAATAGTTCAAAACTCTCTCTTTATCGGATATCTTCTCAATTCTCCAAGTACAGCCATATTTGGTGTAGACATTTTAACACCCAGAACTTCATTTGAATTCTATCTAGAACATCTGTATTGTAAATACCAAAGACTTCAGCACAATATAGTAGTATTGGTTCAACCATCCTGTCAAAGAGCAACAGTTTAGTCTTATCATCAAACTTTATTCTTGAGAAGATTGAATACAGGCTGTTTACATCATTGCATCCGTCATAGACCCATTATTCTTAAAGTTAACTCCAAGGTAACAAAATGTTTCTACAACTTCTATTTTCTCACCATTGATAAACCAATTATTATCAATTTTTGTTTTTCTTTTTCTAAATACACAAATATTTGTTTTTTTTTTAACATTTATTTTCAGACTCCATTTAACAGAATATACATATAAACTACATGTATCTAGCTGCGCTTGGAGACTTTGTGCATTTGTAGTAAATACCACCATATCGTCTGCAAATAGTAACATATAAATATTCAGATAATTTAAATCTGCTTCTGATAGCGCATTAAAATCAAGGTTTACGGTAACATCATTCACGAACAATATAAAAAGTATGGGCGAAAGTGGTTCCCTTGCTTTAATAAAAAAATTGTAAGAATGTTTTCTTGATGATCACTATTCAAGTATTTATGAAAAATATTTAGTGTAAGGGTGTTCACCTGAAAGATCAATTCCCTTAGTATATATAATATATTCTAAGGGCGTTAAAGCGTATTAATCTATATCTTATGAAATATTTTAGTGAAATTTATCAACAGTAAAATTATATTGGTTCTATTATTATATGGTTGATTCCCGAAAAAGTTGTAACATAGAATGTCTCTGTTATTTAATGCACATGAATAATGTATTCGTATGTAAATAGTATAAAATGTTCCGGAACAAAATATTATATTGCTATTCTAAGTAGAGTAAATCCGTTTAGCAATTTTGTGCATGCGCCATTCGCTTTAAGGCAATAAATTACCATATTTATTTCATACAAGCATTTTGGAAGCATTCACATATTATTTTTCTGCATCAGATATATAGCTCTATACACTTATTCAAAATTAATAATTTAAAATAAGGATAATATAATACTACACGGTTGTGGTGGTGCCTCGGGATATATACATATAGGCTGACAGTTACACCCGTTGATAATGAAAATATAAAATCATAAAATAACCATTAAAGCAGTTCAAAATCTTTGTAACTTAAAGCAGAGACATAGATATCTATGTCTCTGCTTAAAGCAAATATAGATCGAGTCGACTTAAAGCATCACTGCAGATGTTTTTAATATGATATAAATACAGAATCCATGTCCCCCTACATATTCATGAGTTACGGTACATGCTGTGCATGGAATCCATGTCCCCTTTCATATTCATGAGTTACGGTACATGCTGTGCATGGTAAGACTTAAATATTTATGTTATTTTATTATTTTTTTTATTTTGCGTAATAATACATGTAAACACGGATTTATTGGCGTCCACGCCAAAGCACGGCGCCTCTTATGGAATGAAATCAGATTTTGTGAAAGGGCGACGGCAACTTCTCGAGCCTTTTAGTCGGTCATAATAAAAGCCGATCATTCCGATCGGTATGAGGGTGCTTGATTATTAATTAAAAATGAAATGTCGCGATATTTACAATGAATAGCGAATGGGGAATTTCGCAATGCAAACATTTTCAAATGAAATAACTTTTTCCGTCAATAAATCGTGCTCTTCGGGTTTTTTTATTTATCATTACACATAGAGGATATTGAATGAGTGTAGGTTTAATACTAAATTTATTGAACGAGTTGAATAAAATCATATTATGTGAGCCTCTGGCGAGCATAAATTTGTTTTATTCAACGAGTTCAATAAATTTAGTATTGAATCTACACGAATATAATATTCTATTTATCACATATATAAAATAAGTAACGCTAACATTAGCGCGCTTTAAATAACGCTACAGTATGTTTATAGCGCAAATGGCGTGACGTCAAAGTGTTATTACACTAGTGTAATATCGTCTTTATCGGTCAATATGACAATTGAATTCTTAAAATTTATTTTACAATTTTAATAAAAAATAGAGGATATTTGTTTAGTTCAGTGTTAGATCAGAATATATTTCACCGAGTGAGCACCAAAAGGTATATTTCACGAGTGGCGCAGCCACGAGTGAAATATGAACTTTTGGTGTTCACGAGGTGAAATATATTTCAATCTTACACTAAACTAAACAAATTTTCTTTTTATTACATGCAAAGAAACGTTTAAAAAGACTTTTCAACCTAGTACTAAATCAAAAGCGCACCAAATACTATTACAACGTGACGTCATTAAGCTGGTTACCAGTACTGTGCACGCTGGTATTTCATTAAAACAACGTAACGGGCTTAAATTCAAAACAGTGAAATTATCAAATTGGTAATTTCACTGTTTAAAACAGTGAAATAACCAGTTTTTATTTCACTGATATATTTCTATAAACCACCGAAAAGCATGTAATAAAGAGTAGTAAACGTAAAAACTCAGTATTAAAATAGCACATAATTAAAACACAAAAAAGAAAAGAAAACAATATTCATAAAATCTTTATTTTTTATATTAAAATAGATATTACAATTATTGTATAATAAACAATTATGCTCATCATGATCAACATGGTAATATAACCAGTGTCATATTGTTACTATATAACGTATAAGTGTGAACAGATACCTTAATAAGATGGGGTCTTCGTTAATAGCGATAACATAATAAGGGACAATACATAAGTGTGGTGTTGATCATGCGTTACACATATGGATTATAAATGATTGTCCGTTGCTATTAATAATCACGATCATAAAGAAATAACAAGTAATATTATAATCTCTTGCATGCCAATCAAAGTTCATAATGAACAAAATTGATATGTCTTTCGTCCGTTTATTCTTAAGTTTTCTGGTAAAAACCAATTAACCATTCAAAAGTTTATAAGAATATCTTGTCATCATATGTCTACTAGTTCATCTTCACTTGCTGCATGTCTTGCTTGGACGCCCTTTGATGCTTTGCATCAATGCTTTTCTTGTATTACATTAATATATTAATATAAATCCGTGATGTAAAGAACTATCCTTCTGGTCAACTTGTTTAGATTCATAGACGCTTGATTAGTTATATGTTTAATAAACGCTTATCGATCTAGAGTAGATGATGGAATTTTCATAGTTTTCGTTCTAAATAGAGTTGGAATAACTCATGTTGATCATTCACATCAAGCAATGAATGAAAAAATCAACAGAACTGTTGAAGCAAACTTTAAAGAGATTGGCTAAGGCTAAAAGGCAATTGCATACATCTGGAATATATCGTTTTATTGCGTAGTCAATGACGCTTGAAAGACATCGAGGGATAGATCTTTACTGTTCAATGTGTTTTAAATTATTGTAGTACGCGCAGTCATGTCGACGAAAATAAACGACTTGAAATCTACGCTTTATTTGAAAATAAATACTACAGAAGATGTCTTTAGACTAAGAGGATGTTTTGAAAAGTGCGACAGAGATCAGTTGCTTTCGTGGACAGATAAAGATGGCTACGATATTTTACATCATGCAATTATGTCTGAAAACATTGAGGCCGTCGGAATCATATTTGCCCTCGGTCATTTTAAACCGCCACACGAACCAAAATTTCATTCTTATATACACCTGGCAGCAAACTTTGGAAGTAAAACAATTGTGATTATGCTTTTACAAGAGAGACCACGTGATTATTCTACAAATAAATCTAAATTCAAGTGGGTGAATCCCCCGACGGAGACGCCGCTACATTCTCCTGACGGGACAAGTATGGTGACTCCGCTAGATGTGGCCGCTCTAAGTGGGCACGCTTCGTGTGTAAGATCTATTTTGGATGTGTCGTCAGTTAAAACCAAACTGGAGTTTGGTTCAGAAAATCACTTATCCGCAGCATGTGCCAGTAACTCGCCGTCTGCTCTTCGCTTATTGCTTAAAGAAAGGACAACGTCGGACGACCTTAAGTCTGCAGTAGGCGCTGCCTTGAAATTAGCAAACGCAGAATGCCTAGATGTTCTTTTAAGATGCAATCCTTCACTTACTTCACTTTTTAGTGGTATGAACCTTTACCATGTACTATACTCGTACAGTCTATCGTTTAAAAAGGAATGGTATGAATCTCTTTTGACAGTTACCTCCGTTTTGTTGAAGTATAAACAAAATCCGGTGTCTGATATTCCATTTCGTACTTATCCATTGTATAGCTTACTAAGCCATACACCCGCGTCGGATTTCGGAAAGTCGTATCCATATATAGCAGCCTGCATGGTTGTTCTCTTGAATGCAGGAGTGGATCCAAACTTTGATGAGGTCAAATTTGAGAAGGAACACGAAGCATTGCACATCCAAACAGCATTTGGACGATTATCGTACTCGTCCGCGCTCCACTGCTTGTATGACAATGTTATAACATTAGTAAGACATTTTGAAGATGACGTCACAAATATTAGACGTTTTGTCACCAAATGCACGGAGACATTACTACGCCACGGTGCCGATCTTTCAGTACAGGGCAGCGTTGGTGACGGACCAAATGGTTTCATAGGAAATCCTTTACATGCATTTTTGAAAGTTTCTATATTACTTGGATTGGATGAACGCAGTATCACTACTTTTAGGCTGTTGATACAGAACGGTTCTGATCCAAATGAAAATGAGTCCGGAAAGTTTCCGTTAAACACATTTTGTGACGAAATTTTAATGCACTCTGAAAAGTTTGAAAAGATAACGAAATCAGACGAAGCTTCACAATTGGAGTATGTTAATGAGATAGTGAATACACTCTTTGGCAATATGACATTGACGTCTGTCAGTAGCGCGTGCAAGATCGAATTTGGTGGGAAACCGACCAATGATATACAAAGGAAGCTTTTTAAAATATGCAAAGACGAGATGCAAAAACGAGCTTCTAGTGTTTGGAACTTAAAAGTTCTTTGTCGCTTAAGTATTTTGCAAGCATGTAAATGGAAATCCACGGCTGTGGTTGAATTGCCAATACCGATAGCTTTGAAAAAGTACATCAACAATGTGGAATGACCCTCAATCAGGTGCCAGTTTATAAACTAAATAAGTGATTGCTTCAATTCACTGCAAAGCAGTAAGAAGATGATGCTATTTTGAAGTTATTATCAGTGTATGAATTACGTAACCTAAAGAGTGAGAATTTAGTATTTAAAATTATCCATGACTGTATGAATAACGTCATCTTGAGAGTACATGAACTATTTTGATATTGTCCATGAGTCTAGAGTGCATAGATGACGTCACCGAGAGAGTGTGCATTAACTATTTTGAAATGTTTACGAGTTAGAGTGTATGAATAACGTCGAATAAAGAGTGTGCATTTACTTATTTTAAAGTTATTCCTGAGTTCATGGAATACGTCACCTATAGAAGCGTATGCATTTATAAGGAACTTCCTTTCGACGATAACATGTGCTGTGTTTGTATATAATCATCTATAAAGTGTATAGTTTGCATTTATCTTGAAAATAATGTTAACTTTGTATGTTAGGATGTTGTTAATGCTTGCGTCATAAGAATTCTTAACATATTTCTAAGTAATTTTGTTCATTGTGATAAATGTTCTTAAGCATTTCTTGTTGGCTAAATGTATTGAATATTTTCTAATAAAACTGTTAATTGAAACCCATTTTTTGTTTTGATGTCTAATAACAATGACATTTGTTATGCCGTTTCTCATGTTGATGTCTGCTCCGTTAATCATGTAAGAAATACTCATACTATGAGCCAGGTATACGTACGTTGCTCCGGTGCTCCCCCTGCTTTCCGCAAGAAACTGTCCGTTAATCAATTTTGTATCAGGTAAATACACATGTAGCAGTCTACTATTTTCGAAAAAAGGCGTCCGTGGCCGAGTTGTTAAGGTCGTTGTCTTAAAACCGCTTGCCCCTCCCCACTGCAGTGGGTTCGAATCCCGACAGAGACTTTGGATTCTTTCATGTGAAGAACCATGAATTCGTAGTGAGCAACAGTTGTACAATAATTTGCAATTCACAATCCATTTTTTTTCTATTTGTTCCCCTCTATGGTAACAACTGAACTGTATTAGGAAAAATCGTGCACACAGATGTTCGTACCATATAAACTATGCAGGCACTTAACTGAATATAGGCATAGCAATCGTATCCTCAACTATAATACTCGAGTCGGTGAATAAGATCTTATTAGAGTTGAAATAACGAAATATAAAGTCATGAGATGATAAATGAAATCATTTTAAAATAAACAATATTACATATTTCAAAACTTATTAAATTATCATAGTCTACACTGTATATTAGATCTACTTCATTTAAAATGTTAGGATAATACTTCGGGATAAATTTGTCATAAAAAAAGGTTTTAGATCATGTAACACATTTTTTTCATGGTTTTATTTCATAAATATGATGCTCAAATTAAGATTTTTCAGTATTGTAAGTTCCAATAAGCATTATTTATAAAGTTACCGAATTCAACATTTCATGTAAATGAACGGAGGTAATTAGAAATATATTTTCTATAAATTCTAAGTCAAATTTTCCAATAAGAAACAAATGCATATAATCTATTGATTAAATATAATGTGCACAAATATTTGCAGTACACATTTTACATATTATTCGATGTTTGAAAAATTGTTTTATTTACATAATTATATTTATATATAATTTTTTGCAAGTGTGGTATACACACATTAACAAGATCAATCGCAAAACATACAGGATCTATTAACTGATTTAATAAAATGTATGTTTTATATTTAGGTAATCACAACAAGAATAATATAGTGATTCGCTCCAGAGAGATTCATCCAGTTCCAGTAACCATCATCGCTACATGTTCTAAATCGTTTACTTTCAAGAAGTTCTGAGTAATACATATTTTTTTATTATATTTCACTTGTAATGGTTAGTTACCGATATTTTTCTTATTTCATTTTCAAATCAAAATGAAATGTTTTCATGAAATTATGCCGAAGATATCGTATCGATTTATTCTGGGAAATATACATAAGTTTACACGTGTATACAATTATATTGTCGCATATATCAACATGCATATTAAACACACAAAAAAGTAACAAAAATAATTATAAGATTTAGTAATATGTTTTATTTTACCTTAGCATTGCCAATTAAGCTAAAAGCGTATTTCCAATAAGATCCATTTACTGTAATAATATCATATAACACTAAATTATATAATGATAAATATGCAAAATATAACCAAACTATATTATTTTTTCGAAACTAATTGAATAAAAATATGTAATATATAAGTTATGGTGGATATATATTTTTTCTCTGAAGTGATCTGAATCGTCACCAATGTAGGGCGAGTTGTTATGGAGCGAATTATGAGTGGCGCGAATCGTTATATTAACCGCCGTCTGTACGGTATGGTACGGTAATGTTTACGATACGGAATATATATGTCAACGTCAACGACAATAACAACAACAGCGACCTGAAACTGTTTCCACCTGCAGTTTTAAGAAAATACTATCCATTACAATACCCCTTTCCTATGTATAATATAAACACAATAGGTAAATGAATCGCTACAATATAGTTCCTGTGTTATTGAACATGTTCATTTGTGTTCATACATGACATTGGAAACTTTCATGTTCTTAATTTCTTTATCATGTTTATGCTTATGGAAAATAGTTTGCATTTTTATTAAAGCAGATAGAGTCAAAATCTCTCCATATGACATACATCACCAGCCCAATCTCAGTCTCTCCTATAGAGTTGCTAACTCATCAAGTCCCATATCATATTAGATCTAATGTGACATCAGTGTTGCATCTAGAATTTCAAAATTATGGGGTATTGTCCCCTACTCATTAAAAAGAATTCATTTATCATTTATTTTTACATTAAGGCATTTCTGACAGCTATCGTCCGCTTAACAACGGTAATAGAAAAATAAAATATTGACGAATACTTGTATTAAGTTGTAAAGTGCGCAGATCAAACCATCATTACACATGCAAGATGACCTGGTCGTCTGATTGAGTATGTATTTGAGTCATTAAAACAAATGAAAACAAACATAGCAGAAGCATTCAAGATACGATGAAGATTAACTGAATCAAGTTGAAAAGATAGTCAGATGTGTGACTTGGTGCACATTGACTTCATTAGAATGCACAATCCGCAAAAAATATGCGCAAAATGTGCAATTGCCCGGCCTAGATGCAACACTGTGACATGGTTTATAACTCTAATGTCAATATTTCCAGAATTATAGCCCCCTTAAACTTAAAGAGTTTTTCTTATTGTGCCCCCCTATAGGTGGGGCATTTAGATTACCCATGTCCGTCCATCTGTCCGTCCGTATGAACCCCAGGGCATTTTTTGTCAAAATTGTGAAGGGACCTGTGCCTGTTCATTTTGTGAAAAAAGGGCGATATATGTTATAAAATTGTGAAAAAGAAATGACATATAACTTGGCATTTCACCACATTTTGAAACTGGAAACGGTTGATTATAATTTCTGACCTGTGTAAAATCTGCTTCCATTTATACATTAACCAGGTTAACATGAGCAAAAACCATTTAAATGATTAAAACTATTTCTGTGTTATTGCAATTCGTGTAAATCAAGTTTTACCGCAAGGTAAACAATGTATTTCGAAACAAAGTCCCAATATTTTGTGAAATCTCTTTTGAAATTGTGAATTTTTATCTGCTACTTTGTGAAAAAAAGTGCAATTTTGAATTGTGAAGGGTGTTATATTGGCCCCTGTTATAGAAGGAAAAAATGCCCTGAACCCAGAGGTACTTGTGTGACTTGGAGAACAATGGGTAACAGTAAATTCTTTTTGATCCTATTCATTCCGTTTTTACTTGTGTGTCTTTTTTTAAGCCTTGTGTGACTTAAAATGGCCAAAAAGATCCAAGGAAAAGTCACATAAGTACCATTTTGTGAGTATGTCCATCCGTCCTTCAGTTCGTCCGTTCCCTTTTGTGTCGCACAGAACTCAAAAAGTATTTGACCTAGAGTCATGAAACCTTACCGGAATGTTGATCAGCATGTGAAGTTGTGCACCTTGGTATTTTCATGTGGATATATTTAGTATTTTTAGAGTTATTGCCCTTGACTTAGTAAAAATTTGCAATTTTCAACTTGTGTCGCACATAACTCAAAATGTATTTGACCTAGAGTCATGAAACCTTACAAGAATGTTGCTCAGCATGTGTAGTTGTGCACCTGGGCATTTTCGTGTGGATATTTTTAGTATTTTTAGAGTTATTGCCCTTGACTTAGTAAAAATTTGCAATGTTCAACTTGTGTCACATGTAACTCTAAAAGTATTTGACCTAGAGTCATAAAACTTTACAAGAATGTTGCTCAGCATGAGTAGTTGTGCACCTGGGTCTTTTTGTGTGGACATTTTTAGTAATTTTAGGGTTATTCCCCTTGACTTAGTAAAAATTTGCAATTTTCAACTTGTGTCACATGTAACTCAAAAAAGTATTTGACCTAGAGTCATGAAACCTTACAGGAACGTTGCTCAGCATGTGTAGTTGTGCACCTTGGTATTCTCATGTAGATATATTTAGTATTTTTAGAGTTATTGCCCTTGACTTAGTAAAAATTTGCAATTTTCAACTTATGTCGCACAGAACTCAAAACATATTTGACCTAGAGTCATGAAACCTTACAAGAATGTTGCTCAACATGTGTTGTTGTGCACCTGGGTCTTTTTGTGTGGACATTTTTAGAAATTTTAGGGTTATTGCCCTTGACTTAGTAAAAATTTGCAATTTTCAAATTGTGTCACACGTAACTCAAAAAAGTATTTGACCTAAAGTCATGAAACCATACAGGAATGTTGCTCAGCATGTGTAGTTGTGCACCTTGGTATTTTCATGTGTATATATATTTAGTATTTTTAGAGTTATTGCCCTTGACTTAGTAAAAATTTGCAATTTTCAACTTGTGTTGCACAGAACTCAAAAAGTATTTGACCTAGAGTCATGAAACCTTACAAGAATGTTGCTCAGCAGTGGTGTTGTTGTGCACCTGGGTCTTTTTGTGTGGACATTTTTAGTAATTTTAGGGTTATTGCCCTTGACTTAGTAAAAATTTGCAATTTTCAACTTGTGTCACACGTAACTCAAAAAAGTATTTGACCTAGAGCCATGAAACCTTACAGGAATGTTGCTCAGCATGAGTAGTTGTGCACATTGGTATTTTCATGCAGATATATTTAGTATTTTAAAATTTTTTTTAGAGTTATTACCCTTGACTTAGTAAAAATGTACAATATTTAACTTGTGTTGCGTGTAACTCAAAAAGTTTATGACCTGTCAGCCTGAAAGTTTCCAAGAATGTTGCTCAACATGTGTACTTATAATGCACCTTGGGGTTCTCTTGTGGATTTATTTAGTATTTGTAGTATTTGTCCTTTACTTAATACAAGATTTTCAGTTTTCAACTTGGGCAGATGTAGCCAAAAAAAAAAAATTGACCTAGAGACATAAGATTGACAAATTGGTGGAGTGTGGGGGCATCCGTGTCTTATGGACACACTTCTAGTTTTTATATAACTTCTTTATTTCTTCAGGGATTTAATTCAAACTTCAAAAAATATGTTTGTTATCACCACCTATAAAAAAGGCTATATCATGTGTTTCTTATTCCTGTATT